TTATACCTACGAGAACTCTAGGGAAGGGTAACTAGGACCTTCTAAGAGAGTTCCAGAAATGAGTGGAACTGTCCGTAAGAACACCATCTAGAAGCACGGTAGGGATTCTAGAGATACAGTGTTGGTGACGGAACACTCCACGCAATAGAAAACGCGTCATGCAAGGAAAGTGTAGAACACTCTAACACATATGATATATAATATATCAATGTGTAGGAAAGAGTATAGGGATTTCCAAATAAGGAAAAACACACAAAATAACACACAATGAATATCAAATGGATAGTGGTTGTTATCAAGGATTCGGCAAGCCTCATCCTCTCACAAGATATTATTTCTGGTCTGACATGCAAGGGGACATGCAGCGGTATGTGGTAACGTGCAGAACTGCCAAACCATGAAATCAGCGAAGCAGAAGCCAGCTGGACAGTTGCAGCCGATTCCGCCGCCTGAGTGGGCGTGGCAGCATATGATGATGGACTTCAGCATAGGACTGCTTGCCAAGGATGACTAAAATGACATGATATTTGTCATCGTCGATAACCTGACAAAGATGGCCCACTTTGCCGCCTGCAAGAAAAGCATCTCAATCAAAGAAACAGCCCGCCTTTTCATCGCGACCGTCGTCCGCCTCCACTGAATTCCACCCGCTATCATTTCAGATTGTGACACAAAATTCACCAATAATTTCTGGCGCAACCTCTGGGAACAGTTTGGCACGCGTTTGCAATTCTCTTCCGCCTACCACCCTGAGACTGACGGACAAACCGAAAGGGCCAATTAGACGATAGAGCAGCTGATTCGCGCCACCTGCGACGACATGGCCAATTGGGAGCAGCAACTGCCACTGATCGAGCTCGTGTATAATAATGCCCTGTCAGCCACTACATGACAGTCACAATTCTACATGAATCACGGGCAGAATCCTATAGTACAGATCATGCCCAATGTCGAAAACCTTGTACCTCGAGCCCAACAATTCGCCGAAATATTACAGAATGCCCTGGAGTGAGCAGCCGAAGCCATTAAGCGCGCGAATGTTATTTCTAAGCGCAACGCTGATACACTGAAGATTAGTAACTTACCATGCTGGAGACTTAGTAATGCTCGACACCCAAAACCTTCGACTGCCCATCGTCCCAAAACTTCGCCCTCGCTACTGTAGACCATTTACCATCAGTCATATGGTATCTTCCGTTACAGCTCATCTACTGTTATCGGCCACCAGGAACGTCAGCCCATCATTCCTCGTGCGACTACGACCATACGTCGCCAACACCAGTCAACTACCATGCCGCTGAGTGAATCTTAACATCCGACCGCTCGCCGAGCCTGCTGTCGAACCTGCGAAGGTTCTCAGCCATAGGATCAAGGACCCTCGAGGGGCTCGCCTGATCGAGTTTCTGAGATCCAAGAAGTGAGTTTCAGCCAAGTCACAACCAGCCCTTAAGGATCTAGGAGTTTACCCTCTAGAAGCATTCCCAACCCATCCAACCAAAATACTCTACACTACCAAACTTCTAGTCAATCAGCTATGTGTATGTTTATTGGAGCAACCTAGATATTCTCATGATTCCAACACCCCCCTTTGCTCCAATAAGCTTCCATTCTATTCTCCATTCAAAAGATAACTCCTCCTGCAAAGGATGCCTTAGCCACTTTAGTCTTTGCCTTCATGCTGATGCGCTCAAGGTCCGCGTTCAGCTTCAAGCTTGGAAGGGCTTTTGTGAGCATGTCGGCATCTTGAAGGTGAGAGTGCACCAACTACACCACAACCTCTTGCTAATGCACTGCATCCCAAATAAAGTGCCAAGCCACCTTAATATGCTTCATGCGCTGATGGAGTTCGGGATTACGGGCAAGGGAAATGGCTGACTCATAACCACATAGCAATGGAATTGCCCCCCCATCACCCACACGCATCTCAGCCAGCAAGCTCCTCAACCATATGGCCTCCTTGGCCCCCTCGGATAGCGCCTTGTACTCAACCTCAGTGCTGCTGTAGGCCACACTGTCCTGCTTCTTGCTGTACCAACTAATAGCCCCCCCACCTAGCATGAAGAGATAGGCTGCACGACTCTTTTTGTCTGCTTCACCTGCCCTATCAGAGTCAGTGTACTCAATAACTTGCTCCGTATCACCTTGGTGGCTGTGTCGACCAAATACCTTTGTGCTCTCATGGCAGTACGCAGGTGAATGCGTATAGGTGTGATCAAGGTCTCAGATATCATACGAAATTGGTCTGATGGTATGAAAATCAGACCTGTTTTTTTCCTTTCATCTGATTTTTTTACGGGCTAAATTAATTCGTCTGATCGTCCAGATTAGCCATAAGATTCCGTCTGAAAGTTCAGACCAAGTGTAGACTTTCGTCTGAGAAATCAGATAACGCTTATTTCTTCGCCTGAGACTCTGAGACATTCCTCTTCATCCCCCCATCCCTCCCCCCTCCCCCCCCCACAACCGAGATTTTTTTGGCGAAGTCCTTGACTGCCAGATACATTCCCCCCACACCCCTAGAATACCTAGTTTTTCTGGCTTAGTGCCCCATACAAGAGATATTCCTCCACACACCCCTCACAACAACAATTTTTCGGTTAAGTCTCCCACACTAGAGTCATTCACCAACACACCACACCAACCCAAAAAATTCGGCAAAGTCCTTAACTGCAAGATACATTCCCCCATAAACCCCTCGCAGCCCGGTTTTTCGGCTAAGTCCCTGCTACCCTGCTTCCACACTGTTTTTTCTGCTTTGTCGCTTGACTGGACTGGGGCGGGGGTGGATGGAACCCTGATATTGTTGGGCAAAGAGAGGGGGCTGCCTGCACGTGGCGCGCCACGCCACCTGCGAGTGTTCCTGCCAGAATCCGAAGGTGAGTGTCTTACAGTTCTGGAACTCAGCAAGTTTCGGAACCAGGTCTGGTTACACATTTCGCAGCACATTCCGACAGGGCTTTGCGAGCTCCTCCCCAGGCAAAATCTTTGCCATTTCCAGAACTAGTTATGGAACTTCCAGAAGCGGAACCGTAAGACACACACCTTTAGAGCGTTTTCCTACGGCCTCTGCACAGGCCTGCCTGTTCCCAGACTCACATGCTTCAGTGCCGTGCAATGACTCTTGCGCTCTTCTGCGTGGTACAGACTGACAAGGTTCAGGGCATGTTTTAAACTTCTTCGTAGGCGCACCTTTTCCTGAGATGCGCGAGTCTCTACAGTTTGATTATGACCCGAGCAGAATCAAAGCGGTTGAGAATGTGATAATGAAACGTAGTGAGCTTGATAAGAAAACCTTAGAGTACGCTCTCAGGCGAGGACCGAGTCAGGGAATTGGGTAGCCTGGGAAGAGGCTCGTAAGAAAACGCTCTTAGCAGGAAACGAACAAATCGAGGTTGAAATTACGAGGGACGAATATTCTTGCGCAAAAATTTCGTCTGAATTTTAAGACCAGTGTAAAAGTTTCATCTGCTGTTGACGCCAGCGCTCACAAGGCGCCGAACGGCAGGGCGGGCCCCTTGCGTCAAAACAAACGAGGTCGCAGGGCGGCCTCATCCAGCGCGCCAACACCCACCTCCCCTGCTTTGACCAACAAGCAAGTGGCGGCAAAAACTGGCGCTGTTACAGCAAAACACACCGCGGGTACAGCAGATGCGACTACCATTTCTGCCTCGACTAAAATTGAAGATGCAAAAAAGGAGTCGCTGTGTCACGCTTGTCCTTCCAAGATTGCCCGCGCCAAGAAGGAGCTCGCTGCTGCCACACAAGACAATGCCAAGACAGTGACTCTGACAACGAGGCTGGTAAGGCTCATACGCACACTAATTTTTTCGCACCCACCGAGCATCTCCCACCTCTTCCTTCCTCTAACCCCACCATCTCGGCATCATCGTTCAACAACGCCGGGGTACTCGAGCAAGCCGAGTTCCTGGAAGACCTGTGAGCATACCTGAAGCACGCGAAGCACAAGGTACACCACGACGACACATCGAGCTCGCCCAAATACTTTGAGGCGGCGTACGCGCTCATCGCCAAGCGCTTTGAGCTCCTCCAAGTTGCCGATGCCTCCGACTTCAAGACGGCACACCGCTTCAAGCTCTACCAAGAGAAGAGTGTCCTCACCTCACGCCCTTTCAAGCAAGAAGTTGCAGACATTGTGGCAATGAAACACGAGCAAGGCTCCTATGGCCGTGGCCATCCCGTTGGAGGCCGCGGCCCTATGGGCTTTGGAGGGAAGTTTGACCCTCCATCGAGCGGCGCCCAGAGGGGCTTCCGAGGCACTTGCTTTCGCTGTGGCCAGCCAGGCCACACGGCGAACACCTGCACTGGAAATGGGAGCAGGTCACAAGGGCCCGCACCCGTTGTGTGAAAATTAAATGAGGATTTTATGTTATTATTGTGTGGACCTCGGAGTAGGTGCCATTGCACCATGGGGTGCTTAGGGCCGCTGGCCATTCCCTCTGTGGGAATTAGAATGAAAAGGCCGCTGGCCAAACCCGATACAGGGTATGAGTATAGGCCATGGGCCAAGCCCCAAGGGGGGAGAACGCATTTTTTTGACCTACCTCGGTAGTGGCACCCTTGGAGGTGCCGGTTCTTTTCGTTTCATCACCTTTTTGAATGATAGAATCCCTGTTGGGTAGTGGCCAAGGCTTGAGGCCTAAGACTCGAAGCTCATGGGCCAAGTATTTCAATACTTGTTGATCTCATTTTCTTAAATATTATTGAGAACCCCACTCTGAAAAAAGGCCTCACAAGGCCTTGGGACCTCACAAGGCAGCTCCGATTTTGGAGCCTAAGAACCTATCATCGGTGCCCTTGCTACTCCAAGCCTAACCTAGAAGAAGGCACAACCAATATTGGGTGCGGCCGCATCTAGGCACATGAAACCAAGCAGTTTGTTGGGCCTACAATGTCTAGCTCGAGGTACATGTAATTAGCCTTAGGTTCCGTCCCATCACATGCTCTTTCACCAGCCATTGGAGGGACCTGGCTTACTAGAACATGCAATGCTTTGCAAGAGAAAGATGGAGCAAGCGAGAGAGAGAGAGAGAGAGAGAGAGAGAGAGAGAGAGAGAGAGAGAGAGAGAGAGAGAGAGAGAGAGAGAGAGAGAGAGAGAGAGAAAGAGAGAGAGAGAGAGAGAGAGAGAGAGAGAGAGAGAGAGAGAGAGAGAGAGAGAAAGAGAGAGAGAGAGAGAGAGAGAGAGAGAGAGAGAGAGAGAGAGAGAGAGAGAGAGAGAGAGTGAGAGAGAGAGAGGGTGAGAGAGAGAGAGAGAGTGAGAGAGAGAGAGAGAGAAAGAGAGAGAGAGAGGGGGAGAGAGAGAGAGAGAGAGAGAGAGAGAGAGAGATAGAAAGAGAGAGAGAGAGAGAGAGAGAGAGAGAGAGAGAGAGAGAGAGAGAGAGAGAGAGAGAGAGAGAGAGAGAGAGAGAGAGAGAGAGAGAGCATGAACGTGAGAAAGCAACATCGAATGTGCGTGCGCGGTGGCGCAGCATGCGACCGGCTGCCGGGCCAGATACACATTGCCCTAGTCCCTTACATTCATATCGTATTCAGCATTGGCCTTCATGGATACATCCCAAGCGTTTGGTGGACTTCGCGCTCACTCTGCCAAGCATTTACAAACCTTACCCACTTCTTCTGTTGGATTCTATTTGCAGAACTACTCACGGGGCTTGGTGATCCCTTCGAATAAGCAGTGACGGACCGGACGGTCTCAACCATGCGTGGGTGCCTGCGAGACGCACTACCCTGGTGGCGTTCGTGGTGCACCAGTAGCTTGATCATATCAGTCATTGATAGAGGCTACTGGATGCCTTCGAAACAAGGGCCCCCACAACCTTTTTGGAGCACCAATCATGCGGGGGTCCAAATTCACGAGGATCCCACAAATGCGGGCCCCCCCATAAGTCCGCCATCGCTGATCTCCTCAAAAGCGGCGCCGCAGCAATGGTGCCAGAATCAACGCTCACATGCATCGGCCCTCTCAACGTTGTAGAACAGCACGACAAATGTCGCCTCATCCTCGATCTGCGCATTGTCAACCAAGAGCTGCAAATTCCCAAATTCAAGTACGAGAGACTCAATCGCGTCGCCGAGTTGGCGCGTGTGGGCAATTGGATGTTTTCAATCGACCTGAAGTCTGGCTATCACCACGTCGACATTCACCTGTCGTGTTGGAAATTCCTGGGTTTCCAATTTGGCGGGCACTCATACTGCTTCCGCGCACTTTCTTTCGGACTGGCTACAACACCGTTCATCTTCACGCAATTGATCAAGCAGCTCGTGCGTCGCTGGAGAACAACGGGAGTACGTGTCATACCGTATGTGGACGATATCCATACGTGCCGACGCCCAGGAAACTTGCAACCATATTATTGGTGATCTTTGAAATGCGGGCCTCGTGATCAACGCCAAGAAATCCCACCTTCAACCAACCCAGCGCTTGCGTTTCCTGGGCTTGGAACTCGATACCGAAGTCGGCCAATTCTCTGTGGGTCCGGAACGGCGTGACACATTGCAAGCTACTATCCAGTTGCTCCTGGAAGCTGGACGCAGCCAGTCCAAGGTCTCCGTCCGGCACGTCGCGCGGGTTACAGGCATGCTTGCTTCAATGGCTCTTGCGCTAGGGGCCACTGCTAGGGCATTCAGCCACGCCCTGCTGTAGACCATCAACGATGCTCCTTCCTGGAATAGCAGAGTACCGCTCTGATCTATCGCCTGCAAGGAGTTGGAATTCTGGTCAACTGAGTTTGACCACTTCAATGGTGCCCCATTTCATGTGCGCTATAGCTACGATTCTGTAATTCACGTCGACGCGAGCAACCACGGATGGGAGGCTACTCTCAACACGTTCTCTGACAACCTTTGTGAAGCCAGCATGAACATGCCCGTCGCTTTGCGACACATGTCCAGTACCTGTCGAGAGATTGAAGGGGTTCTATGGGCACTGCAGACATACATCGACCTACTCCGAAACAAGCATGTGCTCGTACGCGTGGATAATGAGGGAATTTTCCTCATATTGAAGAAGGGTGGCTCACACAGCCCCGACCTCACCATCGCTTGCAAGGAGATAATTCGCACGTGTACTACCCACCGAGTTCACCTTATGATGGAGTGGGTCCCTTCCGAACTCAACACGCATGCGGATGAGCTTTCCAAGATACTCAATCGTGATGACTACACGCTGAAAACGCCGTGGTTCAACATCCTGGATCGGCGCTAGGGTCCCATTCCATTGATCTCTTCGCCAATGTTAGCAGCGCCAAGCTGAGTCGTTTTTGTTCCGGTAACCCGCACCACACGGCTACGGCGATCAACGCTTTCACGGTCTCTTGGTCTGCAGAACACGGCTTCGCCTTCCCCCCACCTCAATTGATCGCCGCCGTCCTCCACCATGCACAACGTACACACGCGTCTCTTACCCTGGTACTTCCCCACTGGCCCGGCGCCAGCTGGTGGCCACTCCTTCAACCCTCACCGCCAGCCTGGGCTAGCCCCATCAAAGCTCACATCCGACTCACGCACGGCAGCCAATGCTTAGCACCAGGCACACACACTAGTGCCTTCTCCGGCTCTGGTCTACGTGATAGCCTCATCCTCGCTCTGCAAGTGGCGTTTCCCTAATGTCTGCCTCTCCGCCTGTATCACAACCAAATCTAATTCCAACCCTGCAACGCGAGCTGCTCTCGGTCATAGCACAAACATGCGCAGACTCACAATTCGAACTTACGAACCTTACTGGCAGCAGTTTCTTTCCTTCTGCATCAAGGTCAACCTTCCCTTTCTGCCAACCTCGGACATGACACTCGCCTTGTATTTTGTCTATGCAATTCGAAACAAGGCCACTCTCTCAATGATACAACTCACATGCTCGGCCGTCAGCTTCACTTATTGCATGATTGGGGCATCCTGCCCCAGCACTGGCCCCTTCACGTCATAAGTGCGAGAATTCGCCAAGCGACAGTGTCCCCGGCCCAATCGGACCAAGGAACCGGTCTCTTTACATCAAGTGCACAAGATGGCTACTCATTTCAGCGGTACTAACGACTCCGCCACCTTCTAGAAAGGTCTTATTCCCCTCCTCATGTATGCTGGATTTCTGTGTTACTCCGATCTCGTGGCCATCAACAGGGAGGATATCATGTTTGAGGATGACGTAATGTGGCTGCTCATCCCGCGCTCCAAAACGGACCAGGCAGGTCAGGGCTCATGGGTTCCAGTTGCTGCCATCCTTGGACCCCTCTGCCCTGTCTGATGCACCAAACGCTTCATCCGGTTGGCAGGCTATGGACCCACTACTCCCGGACCCTTAATCCGGGTGTTCGGCGTGGCCGCGGGTGGCGTCCCTACCAGCAAGCCGCCATCATACACCACTATATACAACTGGTTCAAGGAGGCTTTCCATTCCATCGGCCTGGGTGAGCATCGCCTCGGCACCCACTCCTTTCGTAGAGGTGCTATGACCGTTGCTGCCCACGGAGGCGTAGCAGACCGGCTCTTCAAACGTCTTGGCCGATGGCGCAGCGACACAGCCAAATAAATGTACATCACACCCGCCGTCGACCAACTGGTTGCGGCTTCCCATAACGTACAGACCCTCGGGTCGGCACCATCCCCTGCACAACATTCTCGAGCTCTTGCACGCCACCGACAGCCATCTCCGTCCATGTCTTAGGTCAACCCAGTGGAATGAGAACGATGCCATTTGCACTACATGTAGCAAGCTTTCTCAATATGTAAAATTTGAAGTGTTCACACTTTCAAAATTGTGTATTGTGAATGCGAAGCTGCTTGTAACGCAATCTTCAGCATCGTCAAAGCTATTCGCCCTTCTCCAACTAAATAATGGGGTTGGAGGTCATTCTTCCTCCACCCACATTTTTCATTTTTCCCAGCCCAAGTTCAATTCCTGCCCACTATTGTTCTCTTTTGAAAAAAAACGTGTCTGAGGAATCCGACAAGGTTTGCGCTCTTTGTCTGATGCATTTTTCACTATCAGAGAAGTATGAAAAGGTTGTCTGATTTTTCAGAGAATTCTTGAACGAATGTTTGAAAATTCAGAGAAACGTATTTGCATAGTCTGTTTGTATGAGATGCAACACTTCGACTAATTAGCGGTTGTGGGTTACAAACGAGCAAAACCGCTAAGCGTTCAATCCAGGGTCTCTTCTAGGATTTTCGACCGTCTGAAAATCAGACTTGGCTTTGAACTTTCATCTGACCGTCATTTGAAGACTTAGTGAATGTCTGAGAATTCTGACGAAAATTAAAGCACGGTCTTAAATTTCAGACGATTTTTTTAAATTACCACAACTATTGAAAGCATACTGCCACTAGCATATTTAAGCAAGAAACTTTGTCGCGCGCAATTTTGACTTCGAATGTTTACGTTTCCGTCTTTCCTGCAAGACCCTGGTTCTCTCTCCCGTGGGGTGGGGTGCTTGACTGTGTTAATCATGGACTCAGGGTGACGTGGGGTGATGTGTTTCGGAGCCGAGGGCGAAGGGGAAGTGGGCGATGAGACTCACGTAATGTGTCACATGCAGGCAGCCCTCTCTTTCGGCCCTGCCATTTCAGGGTTTGCCCCCGCCCCCAAGTGGTATGGGAAGGAATGTCTCTGATGTGGGGGACTTAGCCGAAAATTTCGGGGTGCGAGGGGTGTGAGGAGGAATGTCTCTGGTGTGGGGAATTTAGCCGAAATTTTTGGGGTGCGAGGGGTGTGGGGAGGAATGTCTATGGTGTGGGGAACTTAGCCGAAATTTTTGGGGTGCGAGGGGTGTGGGGAGCAGGGCTGACGTTTAAAAATAAAGGCACTCTGAGCTAACCCCCCCAAAAAAAAATAAAAAAATCTGAAAGGTCTTCAACCAGAATTTAGGGACTTAGAAATGTCTGAGTCCGGAGATGGGCAAGTATGAAATCCTCAGGATCGCGCAAGTAAATTCAGGGTTACATGTTATTAGGAAGGCCTCTTGTAACTTATATTTTCCTTCACTGGACAGGAGCCTACAACAACTACCGTACTACTACTACCACCAAGCAATCACTAACTAACAAGCTCCTAGAACTCCGGCGCATCTACTGTAATCTCATCATCACCCCCCTCATTGTCGTACAGGAAAGGGTCGTCGTCTGTTCTTGGAGCCTCATCATCCTCATCATCACCCCCATCCTCCTCAGCCCGCCCCTCCCCCATGTACTCTGGCACCTCCCCCTGTCCATCACCCATTGTGTCTCCCGCCACCTCACCCTCCAGGGCCTTTCCCTTGCGCTTACGTTCCGCAGATGCGAAGACAACAGATCGTGCTGGGCGTCTCAACTTCTCTCGCCAGGTCGCCAGGGCTTCGGTCCAATTGATGTCGTACTGCAGCAGCGAGATGGCCATCAACTCGGAGAGGCGCACATTGCAGAGTGAGCCATGGACCCAGGACTTCATCACGTTCTGTCGAGAGAAGCCCCTCTCGCATTCGACTGTTGACAGAGGCAGCACGGAGCAGGCCTGCCACTGGCGCATCAGATTGGGCCAGCGCCTGACACAAGATACAAAAACTAAGGCGAAAGAAAGGCAGTAGGCAATGCATAGAGTGAAGGCGGATAACAAAGGGGGTTTAAAGGCGGTCAGCAAGGGCGGCAATGTTGTGCACACTTGGCAAGTAGAATGGGAGGTGGTGATTCAGAAACAACAATACCATTGGACTTGCCTGCTCGAGTCCGTCTTCGTGAGGTAGTTTGCCAGCCTTGGTGGAAGCTCTCCACCTCGTGATGATTCTGCATGATCGGCGCCCAGGTTGCGAGCTCCGTC